GGGCACATACCTGGGCTGAGGGCTTCATCCCCAGTAGGGGGCGTGCAGGAGGCAGCCCATCAATGTTTCTCTCTCCCTCTCCCTTCCTTTCTCTCAAATCAATAAAAAAATATTTTTAAAAAAGAAACACCTCATAGCTAAAAGAATGCACTATAGAAACATATAACAAGAGCACAGGGTAACTGCTGTGAACTTGATGCACGAATACACACCCCAGGCCCTCCTCTGGCCCCAGGTGCAGCCCCCATCTTGACCCGGCCCATCGACTCCTTCCATGTGGTTTCATCCCCAGCTGTGCCCCAGAGACCGCAGCTTAGCTGGCTTCCCCTGTACCTCCTAGCAGTTCATTTCTTTGAAGAAAGTGGCTCATTTTTCTCAAGAAACTTCCTTCTGTCAGGATTTGCTGATTGCAGCCGCCCCAGGGTGTCTATTAATAATTTCTTGATATTTCTTGCTAATTGGTAAATAACTTTAGAGGCCTAATCAGATTCGGGTGTGGCTTGTTGGGGGTAAGAGTGCTTCAGAGGTGGTGGTGTGTTCTTTACAGGAGGCAGAAGCTGGGTTCAGTTTCATTTAAGAATATCCTTAGTCCATTAGAAGGCCCGACAGCCAGATCTGGCTGCATCCTGCTCTCACCCTTCCCACGGGACCCTGCAGTACGCAGAAGCTCTTCCAACTGCTGATGGGTCACTGTTTGTGTAGGAAAGGCAAGTACGCGCTCAGCTTTCCCTTCACTTACCAGTGTGCAACATCCTTCAACGCAGATCAGGTCGTCTGTTTTTGTGTTAAGACCGCACAGATTTCAGCACGTTTATGCTTCAGTTCATTAAATTATTATCCTTACTGGTGCCCAGATGTCCCTTCCTCGAAGGTCCCATGACACGAATGGCCTTGGGGGGTGTCTTGCTGTCTGTCTGCTGTAGCAAGACACCCAGAAGTTTAGTTTTCTGTGTCTGACATAACAAGTTATCACCAATCCGTTGGCCTGAAACAACAGATTTATTCTCTCAAGTTCTGGAAGCCAGAACTCTGAGATCAAGGTGTCAGCCGATGAAAAGCCACGATACCTCCAACTCCAAGTTTCATCCAACAGACTCCCTGTTTACAACAGCCCGGAACAAGCCCCTTTCCTCTATAAGAGACGGTTCTTCTCCTTTGGCCGAGGGACTTGCTTGTGGGTGGCAGTGAGGTTGCATTCCAGTGGTGCAGTCCTCTGTCTTTCCTGAATAAACCCATTTTGCTGAAGAAATGTCAACAAAGACCAGGCTGTGGGGACTATGAGCAGGCCCTAGAGGAACAGTGGCTGCCTCTAAAGGTACAAATGGACCAAGAAAACACAATGACACGTTAGAGATCCCTAAATTTCATGCCCAAGGCTGTGCTAAAACAGCCATTCTTAGAGTGGGGTCTGCAGCTGCCTAGGTGTCCCAGAAACCCCTTCAGGGGTCCGGAGAGTCAATGCTGTTTTACTACAATGAGACATTATTTACCCTTTTCAAGGAGCTGCCATTCACGATGATGACGTAAAGGCAGGTAAAACGGCTGCCAACCTGCACAAATCCAGACGGTGCCCCCAAAGTGCTAGTCCTGTGTCCTTCAGGCCACACACTCCCAGTTTAAAAAAAGATCAGTTCCTTAAGAATGTCTTCCACGAAGTAGTAAAAGTTATTATTCTTTTTTTTAAAAAATATATCTTTATTGATTTCAGAGAGAGGAAAGGAGAGGGAGAGAGAGACAGAAACATCAATGATGAGAGAGTCATTGATCAAGCCCTCAACCCGGGCATGTGCCCTGACCGGGAACCGAACCCCGATCGCCTGGATCCCAGGTCGATGCTCAACTGCTGAGCCACGCCCGGCCGGGCAAAAGTTATTATTCTTAATTCTCCATCCTTGAGTATGGGACTTTTTAATCTTGAGTATGGGACACGAAGAGTGCTTCTGTTGAGTACTACACGCGACAGTTGCCTCAATTTTCCGCCCTTGGGTGACTGAGTTTTCAGTGCAACCAGTCAGTTTTACTTGGAAGGACTGATAGGAAAACTATAGCCATTTGGTATTGGGTATTTAGCAGGCATTGTCCTTTCCTTTTTAAAATTTTATTATTATTTTTTATTTAATTGATTTTATCAGCAATAATCTGAGAAGGCTTCTAAAATACACTTCCTTTTTCCAACTGCATGTTGGTGTGAGGCCAGATTGTCTTCATATATTTCGACCAAGAAGACACTGGAACAGATTGGCCAGAAGCAGATACGAGAAGTCAGGCGTTACAGATGATTCTGTACAAGCGTAAAACGATGCCACTCCTCTCACTTAATATTCTGGGGAATACAGCTAATTTTCATTTAAAAATTTGTTACTATTGGAACATGTTATGAATTTATTTTTATGTTTAAATAATAAGTAAGTATGTATTGAAAGAATTTCTCAGTTTAATTTCCAGGGTGGTAAATACTGATAGATATAACCCTCATAAACAAAAGGTCTTTGGAGCCCTCCATAATATTTAAGAATATAAGGTGTCCTGGAACAGATGACTGGGTCCACGGATGCCAGCCAACTTCTTTTTGCAGGGTGCTGACCGTCAGTCCACGGGCTCCATGAAGGCAAAGGAGGAGGGAGGTCACGTTTGAGGTGTCGCCCAACTCAAGGGCCACCAGCAAGGCCACCCCAGAGCCCACAACATGCACCTCTCCCAAGGGAAGCAGTCACCCCCGCCCCTTCGTGTGTATTGGGACTTGCTCTCCTGCCCCTGGGCTTCCTCCAGCAGGGTCGTCCGCTGACTCTCGGAATGCCCATCGCCAGGCAGCCTGCACAATGCTGCCTCTGCCCAACGGCCTCCTGCGCAGCGAACGACCTTCTGACGCCCGAATCTACGCCCTGGTGGACGGCGGCTTGGCCGGCGGAAGACTCAGTCCCGGTGCCAGCCTGGAGGCAACGCCCTGGCGCATCGGGACGCGGACGCCCGCGCCCAGCCCGCGGGAGCGCGTCTCGCGCCTGCCCC